AAAAACAAATGACAAACGACCAAAACATGAAATAGAATGTAACTTTTGTTGTTGCTGTCATAGGATTTTCATTCATTTTATATTATTCGCTGATAAAAGATGATGATGATGATGATGGTTAGAAGATAAAAATGTCACCATCATCATAAATGAATAGGAAATGGATGACTGGGAAATAGACATTTATATATAGTGAGATCATATATTAGAGATAAATAAATGATGATGGGGCAACCAGTCATCCGATTCAGGCAAAATGAAAGATGAAATGAAACAAAACGAAAACAAAAGATGGTTTTGGAAACTAAAAAAAACAATCCAATGTTTTATGTGTGTGTGTGTCACATCATTAATGTTTTTAAATATGAATGTGAATGTGAATTTTTCAATTGAATTGAATTTTCAATGAAAATCAAAAGAAAAAAGCATGAAAAAAAAATCTGATTGCAAATTCGGCACGCACATCATCATATGTTTTATCGTTTTTTTTTGTTTTGTTTTTGTTTTGTGATTGTTGTGATGGGTGTACGTTTTCGGTATAAATTTTAACTTGAATTCATCATCATAAAAACAACATACGGTATAAAAAACAATGGCCGGGATTGCTGGACAACGAATGATGATGATGATGATGATGATGAAAACTTGTCTAGAATATTAAATATGAATGAAATGAATTTATATAAGTTTGAATTGATAAAAAGGAAAAAAAATTTTGCCCAGAAAACAACAAGACAGTACAAATATAATAAAAACAAAAACAAAAAAATCATTTTGTCCATTGTTATTCTGGAACAAAAAATCCGTATCTTTATTGAATTTCGTTGATTATGGAATTTTTTTGTTGTTGTTGTTGTTGATTCAATTCAGGAACCAGGACCAAATTTGAACACTAGGGGGACTATACACAAATGTTTTCAAATATGTATCTAGAAAAAAAATCACATGATACAGATTGAAAATGTTCAATTTCATTTCAGCTATACATGCAAAAAGTGAATGGGAACTTTTTTTTCTTCTTCATGTCATTCATATGTCGGCAGTTTGTTGATGGAAAAAAATGAATGAATAAATCAGGTGAACGAATAAAAAAAAATGATATTCAAAAGTAAACATTTCAGGCATTCATTTTTGGGATCCATGATGATTCATTGTATTCAATTCAGTGTTGAACAGAATTCTTTGGAATTTTCTATTTGAATTACCATTTGAATCCAATACATTGTGATAATCTCAACCATATTGTTGGTTTTTACATTGAAAAAAAGAAAATTTCCTATTCATCCACATGTTTGCATTTTGCATTTTCAGGAAAAGATGAAAAAACCTTTCACAAAATACTAATAAAAACCTGAATATTTTTTTCTTCTTTTTATTTCATAGGTTGGTGATCAAATTGAATCAATCATGGAACAAAATATGTTGGGCAATCGTCATTATGAGGTGGCACGTTTTCTTAAATCAATACCATTGAATGAAATATTTACAATCACATTGATCGAACCGGTTGCCGCAATCGGTAATAATGTCCGTAAGTTTTCATCTAAAAAAATTTTCAGAAAACAAAATTCCTACAAACTATATATATACATTGATATATATGGAATTAAATTGAAAAGTTTTGAATTAATTCTCTGTTTCTTTTTCTTTGTTCAATGTAGAATTACGAATCATTAACGATAAATCACCAACGAATAACAACAACAACAATAATCAAACTAATCATGAAATGATAAAGTCAAAATATAATCATAATAACAATGCATTCAAGATTCGACATCATCAATATCGTAATCGTAATCATAATCATCATCATCGAATCATCAATAATGAAAATGGACAAAAATGTTCAAAAAGTTGTTATGATGAAATCGATGACAAAGATTTTGGCGTTGAGAATCATGATGATGATGATGATGATGATGATGAAAGAATATTATCATATAAGACGGGCATTTACTATATCAACAAACAATTGGAAAAGTTTATTGGCATTAATGATGATGAATTGGCTGAAGAATTATGGTTGATGGCAACCACCACCACTACCACCACAAACAACAACAATGATGATACATTTACATTGAAATCGAAACAGCAACAACAACAACAACAACAAAACATACAGATGAAATTAATAGTGAAAAATTAGAAAATGGTGAAAGTGGACAAAACAGTCATCATATCAATGATGATGATGATGACAATGATGTAATGGTGAAAAATGATGATGATGATGTTGGAAATGATTCAAAAAAACAACCGAAACAACAACAACAACAACGAATACGACAACTAACTAAAACACCATCAGAATTTATACATTGTATTCAACATTCAGATTTAAATGTTTTTAAATTCACTGAAAATTTTCTATTTGATATATGGACCATTGTACATGATGTACTTCACACAGGAAAATGCGATTCATGAATAAAAATTTCTTAAGACGAAAAAAAAATCAATAAATAGTTTGTGTGTTTTAATTTCAACAATTGAGAATGTTTCTTGATTAGAAAATCAAACTATTTTATGGCGAAAAAATAAAAAATTCAAATTCTGTACATTCATATTCACTTTCCCATATAGTGTGTAACCCAACTAGAACTTATTATTATTGTAATAACGTCAATGTGTGTATTTAGCAAATATAAAAACTAAAATCCTGCAAGAATAATGGTCCCGAATAATAATAATAATTTTTCTTTCACCTTTTTTTTCTCTCTTTAGAAAAGGGTCTAAAAAGTTTTTTTTCTACACACACACACACACAATGGTGAGACCTTTTTTTGGGTCCTGTTCTGGATAATCGATCGATTGCCAATGTTGCAAGATTTTTTTTTTTTTACTTCATTCTGTTTTGTTTATAACCATACAATTCACATTACTCATCATCATCATCATCAAAATTGATGATGTAATTTTTTTTTTTTTTGCTGAATTCTGGGAACCATGCCATACGGGCGGATATCATTATCATTACCATTATCATCATCACCATGAACATTGGTATCCCGCCAACATGGAACAAGGTTTATACTCAATATATATTTTTGTTGTTATTATTATTAAGCATCGAATGAATAATGGTTGACCGTTGTATTTTTTTTTTTTTTTTTTTTTGTTTCATCATCATTCATTGCACTAGATTTTTTCATTTTTTTCTGTTTGGTTCTTGGAACAGTACAGATAAACATGATGATGATGATGGCGAGACAACGAAAAAATTGAAAAGTATATTTTTCAATTATGAAATTGACACGTTCAATGACAGTGAATTATTAAATAATGTGATAATGAATGTATGAATGAATGATATCGAACGAGCAGTATTCGTCTGAGATTCATTGGTGAATGGCAGCCATAGGCGATGATGATGATGATGATGATGATGATGGTTTTTTTTTTGTTTTCATTCCATTTCATTTGCAAATTTGTTGAAGAATGTCTATGATAAACCAATGCTGTTTGGCCCATAAATTGGAGATTGGTTTGGACAGAAACTAAATAAAAATTTGTCGCATAAAATAATTGTGATTGATAATAAAACTAAAAAAAAAAATATTCCAATATTGTGAACTATTAGTGAATGTAGAGCTTTTTTTTGTTTTTTTCTTTAGGAATTTATGATGATGATGATGATGGCGTTAATTGTTCGATTCTAATGCGTAACAAAAACAAGTTAAAAGAAAAAAAGAATGAAGAAAAAAAGTGGTACCAAATATTCTATTCATTCAAGAAGAAGAAAGAAAAAAAATCCAAACGAATCACACATTCTGAAACATGACAATCTCTGGTTTTTTTTTGTCTTGTGTTCTTTTTTTTTTTGATGATGATGATGATGATGATTTGATTGGAATGAGTTGAATGAAAATGAAAATAAATGGAATGTAGTGAATAAAGAAAAATGACCTAACATAGAACAATGATGATGATGAATGTAGAGAATTGAAAAGACTAAAAGTGATGAAAAGAAAAGAAAAGAAAAACGTTCATATTGTCAATTACCATAATAATATCATAGAATTGAAATGATCATTCCGAATGAACACGTAAGCACATTCGAATGATGTGGAATGAATATGGTGGTGGATCCGATCCAAAAATGATTTTCACATCAAAAAAAATTTACAATTTCTCATTCATACAAATGTCATATTATACACAATAATAATAAAACATTAATTTCTTTCACATTTTATTACAATCACATTTTCCATATTAATTATGGCCATCAATGACGGAAATTTTTTTTATTTTTATTTTATTTTTTGACAATAATCAAAAAAGTTTTCACACACACACAGACACACACAATGAATGCAAATTTCCCACTGATGATGATGATGATGATGATTTTTTTTCTGTCTGGTTGTATTTTATGTTTTCGGCCTGATGATACTCATATAGATTTAATATAAAATGAAGAATTTCAAAGTTTTTTTTTTTGTTTCATTATATTCCAATAAAGTTTCGATTGTTCATTGTTCAGTGGAGAATGAAGAATAATTATATATATGTACAACGAAAACAATAACAACGACAAAACGATTTGTTCATGTTCATTTTTCAATTTTTTTCCTTCATCATCATCATCATCAGTATTTTTCTCATATTCATTTCATCTGATTGGATGCGACTGAATATATATATTGTGAATCCAGAATTATTTCTTGGAAAAAAAATTCAGAAATAAAAAAAAACAAAGTTTAAATTCTATGCAAATTTTTTTTTCAACAACAATAATCATCAGAATATATTCAGAATTATATGTAGAGCAGAAAATGTAACAAATATAATAACGAAACGAAATCGTTTTTCTTTTCCAAACAAACAAACATTAAGATTTTAACAATTCAACATTAATTAGATATATCAATCAATCAATCAATCAATAATAAAAAAAAATAAAGATTTTACAATTTTACAACGAAAAAAAGTAGTGATTGAAAAAAAAATTATTTGACTATGCATCCATTATGTATGTATGTGTGTGTGTGTGTGTGTATCTCATTACCATCATGAGGATTCAATTATTTTGTTTTGTTTTGTTTTGTTTTTTTTTGTTTTTAATTCAAACGTATCTGTACACGAGGTTGGCCATTATTATTATTATTGATGTTTGGATTATTATTCTGATCAGATGATCCAAATAGATTGACAGGTTCTACAATATTATTATTTGATTGATGATGATTTCCATTTTGTGTTGGCCTAGTGCCGGTCGATTCTTGCATTTGTATAGTATCTTCAAGATTATAGGCATGATTTTCAAATGATACACCAATATTACTACCATTATTTGTTGATCGACGACCACCGAATAATGATGATGAATTGGATGAACGAAATTTCGATAGGAAACGATTTTTACTTGATCCATAATAAACCAATGCAATAGCGGCAAATATTAACAAAAAGAACAATAATGTTAGCATTACATTTGTCAAAATTTGACTATCCGATGTAAGATATTCGGCCTGTAATCTTGATAGATTGATCACCAATGGTTCAGATGGTATACTGGTTCCATGATAATTATTTGTTTTGATCACAAATTCATATGTTGAATCCGGTTCCAATGATGTTAGTTCATAGAAATTTTTTTCTATACGATCACGATCCATTTCGTTGGTACCGACTTTTTTCCAATAAACCCAATACCAATGTGTTGAATCACGATTCTTATCCGAATCTTCCCATTCGATTAATACATGATTATTTGAATAAATAGAATGTACATGTACATTTCTTGGCGGTGATGGTAAGAAACGATTACCTTCACGGAAACAGCTCATTATATCACGGGCCGAACTAACTAGACAATAATCCATTTTTTGTATTTTATAACCAGCACACCAATGTAGACATTCGGTGGCCACTTCACGGAACATACAACAACGGCGATGATCACTTCCATCTACGAGAGAAAAAAAAATGAGATGGAAAGAAAACATGGTAATAAATTCAAATAAAAAATAAAATAAAATTCACATACCCGCAGCACAATAAATGTATTTGTTCAGATGTTCAAGGCATTTTTGATTCTTATATACATCGAATAGATTTATCTCTTTTTTATGGCATACAAACATACATTCATTTGGAATATTTTTCTTTTCACAACATTCTGTTTTGCGTGTGTGTGTGTAAATGTGTGTCGTTAAGGAGAAAAAAATTTAAAGAATTAAAAATAAATTTTCTAAAATAAAAAAACTAAAGATGAATTTTACCTGTATAATTTTTGGAAACATGTTCTTGATCATCAACTAATAATTTTAATGTCTTTTTCTCTTCACCATAATCATTACGAGCAATACAATCATAATTTCCTTGATTTTCTTTATCCACATTAGCAATGACAAAAGTGGCTACCCAAGTTTTCGTTTTCTACAATTTAAATAATCAGAATCAATCGAATAAATAAATAAAAAAATATATGAATTTTACCTTTAAATGTGGAAAAATTCTCGAATTATTAAAGCGACTGATCAATAAATTATCTTTTAGGAAACGAATTTTCGGTTTAGGATAACCAGAAAATTCACATTCCAAAATTGCCATACTGTAACGTTGTACGATTTTGGATTCTTTATACAATGTAATGGTCGGTGCAACTAAAAAAATAAAAATAAAATAAAATTGGATAAAAATTCAATAAAATGTTGATAACAATCTACTTACAGTGAACATTAACTTCACGAAAACTTTGTACTGGATGACGGCTTTCTTCATTCACAGCTTGACAGGCAATTGCTGATAGATTACGTTCAACATAATCGATTGAATGATGTATGATACGTGCTTTTTCTGTTTTAACTTTTAGACCATTTATAAAAACGGTCATATTCGGTATTGGATAACCGATTGATTCACAACGAATCGTTACCATTGAACCTTCAATTATTGGGAATGGATGCACAAATGGTTGACTAATTTCCAATGGTAATGATGGATCGGTCCATGCCAATAATGTTTCAGATAATGGTGATACTTGACCATTTGATGATCGTGCACGTACAGATATTGCATATTGGGTATTACGTGTTAGATTCTGTATGACAATTATATTTGTATTGCTATGCAATACTATCCATGTAAGATTACCAGCATTAAGATTTTTGACTTTTTGAAAGAAAATCTAATTTGAACGTGATACATTCGTGACCGAGTGGAAAAATAGATGATCATTATCAATTATGTATTATCAAAATGAAAAAAAAAATTTCATATTGATCAAAATCACTTACATCATATGAATAGGTCACGTCTGGTGATGAATAATGTGGTTCAGACCAACGAAACACTAAAGCTGTGATCGATTTACGAATCAATTCAAGACCATGTGGGGGACCAATAGTTGCATGTGTCACGTTCGTATTGATTGTAACATTAACTGGATTAGTACGTACGACTAATACTTGACTCGGTGCCGATTGTCCATATTGATTTGCTGATACAACATAAATACTATGTGTTGTATTTGGTTTCAGATTTGTCAATGTAAAACGTGTATTGGTTACATTCAATTTTGTTGAATATTTATCATCAAATGGATGTGGTGGTATTGTTTGATTTGATGATAATGGTGAATACCGTATCTGAAATGAAATCTGATCATTTACCGGTAATTCATCCGATGATTTATTCCATGCAATACTGATTGAAGTTGATGTTACATTACTTGCATGTAATTCTTGTGGCATACCCGGTAATGTATCGGCACCTTCAGCCATACATTGAAATATTTTACCATCATATTTTGAACATTTGGCGGCGACATCTCTTGACGTGAATGTAATCATTCCATTACAAAGATCAAAACAATCACTGTCGATACCACGACGTTCACAACATGGTCGATGATCACGGCCACCAGCTAAACATCGTAATATTGTTCGAGCCGTTTTTGGTTCAGCACAGAATAGACTCAATTTGAATAAATCACGCATTTTAAGATGATAATTACATAACGGTAAACAAGTATTCTGTACTGCAGCTTTTTCACAACATAATGTTTCATTATAGCCTAAACTTGTATCTGTTTGATCTAATTGTTCAGATATTGGATCAATTTCTGGTGATGTTGTATTGAACAATACACGAGATGAACCACGGCTAACACCATGTTTATTGACAGCCGTAACAAAAACTTCATATCTAGCTGATGGTCGAAGTTTATCAATCAAAAATGGTGATTTATCAGCCGTTTCAACAAAATAAAAATCATCAGCATCTTCCGATAGTTCACGATAATGAACCTGATATTTTGTTATTGTTTCAATACGTTTTTTCGGTGGTTTCCATTGTACTAATGCCCAATCATTATGTACACTTGATACTGAAACTGTTTGTGGTTCAGTAGTAACAAAACCTTTACGTTCAAGTACACAGCTAATCAATGATGACATGTATGGTAGACATTGAAATTGTGATTGAAAATCATACATCAATGATGTTTGTCCAGAACAGAAATGTTTACAAAAACCATTAACACCTTCTTCTTCACAGCATTGTCTATTGGTATTGTGTGTGTGTACAGGTGGTGGTGAAATGGGCAAAAAAAATTCAGAAAAAAAGGTGAGAAACAAAAGTTAAGAAAAAAAAAAAAAAAAAATGTGTGAATAAACTACAAATAATAAAAATAATAATCACATAAGACGGAACTAATCATCAACAACAACAATAATCGATTTAGGAAATATTATTATTGTTATGACCCAAAAGACTAAAGAGAGAGAGAGAAAAAAACTGAATAAATTATGACGAACAACAACTTGTTATAATAATAATAATAAAGGTCTTTAAGGTTTATGCTATATGTTCAATGTTTTTTTTCCCTTTCATTCATCGTCATCCATACATCACTAATATTTATCGACTTATCATCATCATCATTATTATTACAATCTATGTATATACATTAAAAGATTTTCTTCAATGAATAAAACACAAATTATCATCAACAATGAATGTATGAATCAAATATATTACTACTCTAAAGATGATAATAATATGGTGTGTATTGTTCAAAATAAACAAAAAAAAAAAATCAAATGATGACAATATATTGGCCAATAAAAAAAAAATAATAATATTGATCATTATTATCTAACGGAAATGGAATGAATGATTCATTCAAATCAAGATTGTATTTGTATTGAAAATGTAATGGGAATAATAATGTACTTACTCATAATCAGTATTATCACGAATTTCTTCAATACAACGATATGATGTATTCATATATTTCATACACATAATACTTTCTTCCACATCTACCGGTTCAATAATGAATGGTTCACATAATTGTTTTAAACAGGCTTCATTACGTACACCTTGTTGTGAGCAACAACGTCTTAAACTTGGTGCAACGGTTCCATTATTATTATTGTTATTATTATCATTTTCATTTGATTCTGTATTATTTCCAATCGATTTAATTGAATCTGATATTTTTGCATCTGATGAATGTGTTACTACACGTAGATCATTGGTTGGTAAACTTTCACCATAATTATTTGTGGCAATCATTTTTATTTCATACATTGTACTACGTTTCAATGGACCGATAGATGTTTCAGTTATTGTTGCCGGTACAATAATAGTTTGTTCTGGTTCATCATTTGTGGTTACAGTATGATTTATTTTCGACCAATTTTCATCAAATGAATGCAATTCATGGAAAATAATTTTATATTGATTTGCTAAACTATTATCACGATTTGTCCATTTTAATAAAATCTACATTGATATAAAAAAACAAATTAAATCAAACAAACCATGAAATGAAAAAAATAAACTTACAAACGTTGAATTGATTGTTTCCGCTTGTATTTCTTGTGGTTGTTCCGGTAGTACTTGAAGGCCATCAGCAATGCAAAACAAAATGGTTTTCGAATGTTCATGACAAATGGCATGATCCAATGCTTTTTCCAATGAATATCGACCACTACATGATGGTTGACAAAGTTGTGGTACTTGTTGCCGTTGACAACAAGGAAGATGATTACGGCCATCCGATATACAACGGAAAATATGGGCCATATAATTATAACATAATGTATACATAAATGGTTTTGTTTGATCACTAATCATTGCTTGTAGATTACATAATGCTTTACATAAAATAGGAACACCTTCAGTTTGACAACATTCATAAAATGAACGATCAACAAATGGACTTGATGAATTATAAGCAGTAGAACCGGGAGGTAATGCAGGTGATGTTGTAGGTCGATATTCATCCGGTACATATGAACCACGAATCGATATTGTTGATGATGGTGGTTGTTGCATCGATAATGATGATGATGATGATGAATCCGTATGATTATTATTATTATAATGATCCATATTTCGAATATTATCCACATATGTTTTACGTACACTAACCATTACCATACGTGTTTCATATGTTTTCGGTATAGAATTCACTTCACATTTATATACACCGGTATCCTGTACACGTGCAAAACGTATCTGTAATATCCAACGTTCCTGTTGTTCATGATGTATGACGGACAAACGTTTATCATCGCTTACAATCACTTGATTTGCGGCTAATAATGATTCCGATGTACCATTTATATATTTCCATAATACGGTTAAATTATTACGATTTTTAATCACACAATCAATATCGATATCATCACCAACATTTACACGTATAGGTGATGTAGATGTATCCGAAAGATCTGGTAGATTTTGTCGTTGTGCTTGGGCAACTGTAAAGAAAAAAAAATGAACAAATTGAGAAAAAATTTTATTAATTTAATTCAATAAAGCAAGCTGTTTTTGTTTTGTAATGAATGAAGAAAAAAAATCAACAAAACAGCAGAAAAAAAAAATTAATTCCTTTGACTGCTGAATGAATGAAAAAAAAAAATTTGAAATTGAAATTGTGTAAATGAATTTTTTTTTACATTTTCCATTATCATCTCCATCTTACTTATTTCCATGTATGTTATTTATATGAAAGTCTATTTGCAATCATCATCGTTCAAGGATCAATGATGGTAATAGTCAGCATGTTTTTTTTCACATTCAATTTCATTTCATTTTCACATCATCATCATTTTCAGATTTAATTTTCAACAACAATGAGAAAGAAAGAAAGAAAAAAAATTTCAAGCCTTTTCACTGATCATCATCATGTTATGTTTAGCTTTTGTTGATTAAATTTTTTTTGTTGTTGTTGTTGTTGTTGTTGTCATGAGCACTTTTTTTCATATCATCATCAAACACATATTTTTATCTCGTGAACCTTATGGTCAAATGGACAAAGACACAGACGCACACACACACACACACACACATTTGCATAGATCACGATGTATATGTGTACATTGTGCATCGATGCAAAAAAAAACGATCGTGATGATGATGATGATGATGATAATGTTCAATGCTAAAAGATGAGTCAGGAGATTGAACAACACGCAAAAAAAAAATTCCGGAATAATCCAATAAATTTTCATGTAAATTCAATCTTTAATCCAACTGTAATTTATCCATCGTGGACAAGCAAACAACAACAACAACAACAGCAACACTCGTTTTTTCAAAACAAAATACAAGTTCAAGTTAATGGCGGAGACCAAAAAAACAAAGTCAACAAGTTCAACTAATTAAACGAGCAAAAAAAAGATCACAAATCCAACACAAAGTTTATTCACAATTCGACATTGACTCAAAACCATTGATCTGATCGATCAATCAATCAATCAATCAAACGATTCGATCATATCGATTAACATATTAATTTTTGGTTCATTAATTCGATGGTTTTTTGTGTGGATATAATCTTTCTCTCTCTCATCGACTACTTTGAATCAATTTTCTTGACATGTTCAAATCAAATTTTTTTCTCATGGATCGATTTCTACCTATATAGTCAAGATTTTCTTCTTTTCTTCCAATAGTTATTTTGTCAATCCATCCAATTTTGACAGGTGTCAAATGTAAACACACACATATTTCTACTATTAAAAAAAATGTTTTGTTTCCGTCATTTTTTCCTGTTTGTTTTGATTTCGATTTCAAATTCAATATAATCAATGATTCTCGGTTCAAGGGAAGAAAAAAAAATCAAACTGAGACAAATTGGATATACGCAATAAACAAACAAATAAATTCAAAAAAAATTCGTCACCTCAACCTAGCCATCAACAAAATTAGTTTTCTCATTAATTTTATCACCATTTTGGATCGAAATTTCTGGCAACAAAAAAACAAACGACAAAAAAAAACTTGCTAAAAAACGTTCCATTCAAAGGCAACAACAGGTATGAAGGAATGTGGCAAAAATGTGTGTTTATCATCATAAATTTTAAATTATCATTGACATAATCATCATTGGAAATATTAGTATAGTGTTTTTTTGAATGTGAATTTCGAATGATTCGTATATCATCATCACATCATTATTATTGATCATTGGACATACATAGGTTGGTTGTAGGTAGAGGAATATTGCAAAAAAAAACCTTCAACATTTGGAATCCAATGTCATTTTGTTGTCTATCATCATTATCATCATCGTCATCAATAATCCAAATCACATTTTTGTAAATATTCAATTCATTTATCACTAAATAAAAACTGCTACTGGTCGCTGATGATGGTTGGATATACAGACATATGGATTATAATGGACTTAAATGGAAATGTATATTAATCCTCGAAACACGTTTTAGCAATATGATTTATGAATGAAGGCAACCAAGAAAAAAAAAAATAAAAAGATTTAAAATTTCAACAGAAAAAAAATATTTGAAAATACCTGTAAACAATGATGATGATGATAATGGTGATGAAATTAGACAAAATATGGCTAAAATGATGATTGTTGGCTTTATATTTGTCATTAAAAATAACGGTGATGGTGATGGTGGTGGTGGTGATGATGATGATGATGATGATGATGAACAATGTGGCCGATGACAATAATAATGGCTACTATTATTATGATTTATATGATAATGATGATGATTATAATGACTGGCTTTTATCGATGATATCGTTCTATTCGATAATGAAGATGATGATGATGATGATGATAATGTGAAAAAAGAGGATAAAGATATGCTTCCGTCGTTTAATCTTGATCCTTCATCATCATCATCATCGATTATCTGATGTCTTTTTTTCGATATTATTGTTTGAATTTGATTTGATGTATTTTTATCATCATCATCATCATCACCACATTGATGATGATTATTGCGATTAAATCTGATATGATTATTATTATTGTGGTAGCCATCAACAAGTTGATTGTCAATCATTGCCATTATGGCATCGATATGATTATTGTTATTTTCCATCATGATGTTAGTTCTTAAATTTTCCTAAGTCAATATTTGTATATAAATGATAGAGATGACGTTACAGTTATTCCGAATAAAAAAAAACAATGGATTCACACACACACACAAACAATCACAGAGTGAAAAATATTTTCACTTTCTTTTTCTTGATTTCTAACACGTTGATTTTCACAATTTGATGATCAAATTCTATTCATATCAAATCAAAAAAATTTTTTTTTCGATGTTTGATTTGTTGCTTTTTGTTGTGGTTTCTATTTAAAAGGCGTTGTCTACGTTTACATTCTTTTTCATTCTAACGGTGATTCATTTGATTGTGAATTGAATTGAATTTGAAAATTGAAATTTACATTGAACAAAAAAAAACAACAACAACAACAAGTGTCTATGTAGATCTTGTTGTCGATGATGATGATGATGATGATCAGTTGAATGGAAAAATCTTTTCCGTTTCAGTTGATTTATTTTCCCCGTTATGAAATGAAAAAAAAATGTTGTTTTTGTTGTTGTTGTTGTTGTTGTTGTTGTTGTTATGAATTCATTTCATTATAAATGGACAAATTTGACCCATTTCATTATTTAGTATGATGCATCAATTAGATGACCGGAAACCCGACCTATACAAAATGGGCAAAATAAAAAAAAACAGGAAAATTAAAATGGGCAAAAAAAAAAAAATAAAACAGAAAAAAAATATTAAGAGGAAAAAACATAATTTGGGAACGTCATTTTTGAATGGGACAACAACAACAACAACAACAACAAAAAAAATCATAAGTGTCATCTATGAAAATATGACCTTTGAAAATGATGAAAAATTTCATCATTCAAAGGACGATCCCAATTTCGAATACATCGAAAAACAAACAAAACAGAAAAAAAATGTCAAATTTTCATTTTCTTTTTTTTGACAAAAAAAATTGATGGTTCTTTTCTTGTTTGTTTGTGTGTGTGTGTGTGTGTCAAAATTGAGTGATGTGCCAATTTGTTTTTGTTTTTTTTTTCTGTCTCCACAAACAAACAAATAAAAATGAGAACCACCACCACCACCACCATTCTCATTATTATCGTCATCATCATCATCATTCTGAATGATGATGATGAAAAAAAAAAAAAAAACGAACCAACGAAATGAAATGAAAAAAAAATATTTAGAGATGACACCAACGGAGTTTATAAATGAACAACGAAACAAAACAAAACAAAAACAGGTTTCAGGGTTTTTTTTTTGGTCTATTCAAAAATGCAATATTTCGATGTTGATGATGATGATGACGATTTACTCTTTATTTTTATTCCAATGATGATGATGATGATGAGTTATATAACGATTCGAACAACAACAACAACAAAAAAAAGAAATGACAAACACGACTACAATCCAAAATCACCATTGATGATGATGATGATGATGAAGATGATAATAATGATGGTTGCCGTTGATGTTTCACACACACACACACGCCTGTGGATATGACAATTGATGATGATGATGATGATCTCTCTCTCTCTCTCTCTCTCTCTCTCTCTCTCTCTCTGTTGTGGATAAAGTGGTTAGATCGATTTCAATGATTCAAAGAAAAAAAAAAAATGGTCAATTTAGCAATCACCATCACTTGTTTGTTTTATATTCATTTCATCAACATTGTGGACTTTCTCTTTTTTGTTTTGTTTTGTTTATATCTGTAAAGAAAGAAAGAAAAATTTAAACAAAACAAGACAGAAAACAAAAATCCATGAAAAGAAGATTCATACGACATATATGAATGCGGGAAATACAAAAAAAAAAAAATTTCTTTTTCAAAAAGATATTAATAGTAGGTTTTTTTTTATCAAAATTGTACTGGCGATGTGATTGTGTCTCGGTATATTCATTCATTCATTTTCTTTATGTGTCCAGCGATGAGATTTTTTTTGTTCTCCCCTAAATTCTATTTTAAGTATTGTTTAGCTTATTTGTCATCATCATCATCATCATCATCATCATCATTGTGATCTTAATCTGTTCAGCAGCTTACTGTTGTTATTATTTACGGAACAAACGGTAATTGTAGTCGTCGTCGTCGTTGTTGTTGTTGTTTTGTTCAATAATTATCATCCGGATGATGATGATGATATTATGGATATAAAATGATGAATAGAATGATGATGATGATGATGATGATGATGATGATGAAAACTACACAGTCAATACATTAAATTTAAATTAGTTTCTTTTTTTCACGATGATGATGATGATGATGATGTGAAAAAGAAAATCGATTGATTAATCCGTTGTGTTGTTATTATTGATGATGATAATGGATGGTTGGAAATAAAATTTTAAAAAAAATCGAACGTTTTTGTTGCTGTTGTTGTTGTTGTTGTTTCGAATACACATTTCAACATGATCGGTACGGATTGAATCAAAATAGAATCGAACTTTACTTGGATTTGATGATTTGTTTGATTTGTTTTTTAAAATTTTAAAAATTTTCCTTGAAATGTTTTAAATTTAAAAAAAAATTCAAATTGCCATATAAAGGTGTGCGTCTATGTGTGTGTATGTATGTACAAAGGCGTCTTCAATTTCACAATGAATGATGATGATGATGATGTTTCATTTATTTATAAGAGGAAAAAAATTCCTTTATGAACAATAACAACAACAACAACAACGAAATGAAATGATTATGAAAATGATATGATAATCTTTTTGTGTGATTTTTCTTCAACAGGTTGCGACAACAACAACAATAACAACAACGAAAGCCAAACTTGGACAAATGAAACGATACACACACACACACACACACGAAATGGACAAATTTAGTGACAAAAATAAAAGACACACTTTTTTTTTTCAAGAAAAAAATATGATAGTCATTTTTTTCCCTTTTTTTTGTTTTTCAAAACTTTAAAGATTCAACTGATGATAATCAATTCTTTGTATTAATTAAGAATTGTTGTCATTGTTGTTGTCAATGATGGAATTATCCTGTTTTCTCTCTTTATGGTTATACATTGGATTGATAGCCACCACCACCACCACCACCACCACCACCACCATATATTCGATGGTCGAATCAATGAAGAAGATGATGGTAATTTAAAATTTTTAATAATAAAAAAAATTAATTTAATTGAATTTTTCTCTCTCTATCTATCCACTATATAGCATGATAATCGATTGATTTTTCATCAAATGAAAGTAATTATTATTATTATATTCATCATATTCTTATGCAAATGATAATGATGTGATGGTGATGGTGATGATGAACTTTGTACTGAAGAAATATTATTTTTCATTAAAAAAAAATTACCATCGAAGGACAGCATATATCACGCCGGATGTCAATCATTCATTCACTCAAAAAAAATGATGAAAATGAAGATGAAAATGAGGAAGTAGAAGAAAAAAAAACGCAACACACACAATGATTAACAATAGATGTATAATTGCAGCTACGTTGATGTTGATGATGATGATGAGGTGATGGATTTTTTTTTCGATGAATATTTTGACAAACATGAAAACATCAAGGATGATGATGATGATGATGATGATCAATGATGGCCACCACAAAGATTTGATCAATTTGTCAAAAGATATTATCTTTGTCGACAAAGAAAAAAAAAACAGAAGTGAAATTTTGATTCCTCATTCATTTCAATGTTTATGAAGTGAAAAACTTGAACATTTTTCAATCATAAACGTCATAAGAATTTGACAATCATTATCGTTGCTGCTATGAAGAATTGCTATCGATCAATTTTATGTGTGTGTGTGTGTGTGTGTTTTGTTTTGAAGATCATCATGTGGTTTGAATTCAATGTATGTGTTGTTTTTTGTTCACCAAACCATTTCTCATTTGCATCGACAATCGATTGTTTGAATTCAATGAAAATTTTTCCTTCAAAGAAAAAAAAAGTTTCAAACCCGAAAAAAGAAATCAACATGAATCGACCAAATCATCAAATTTTTTTTTTGCCAATAATAACAAACCAAATACAAACACTTTACATACCTGTTGTTTCGGTATAAAATCACAGAACAAACGAACACACGAACATATTTAATAAGATTTAGTTTCAAAATTGTTTCAATCAACAGCACATATATGTGTGACACATACATCACACACACACACACAAACACATAAACATACAAATGGACTTGCAACTTGTTGATTTATCTTCTTCATCATCGCCTCTTTCTCTTTTTTAGCCAGGTATATATAAATTTATTGTTGTTGTAGTATGTTTGTATTTTAACTTTCAATTTCATTCAAAATTCTCTCTCTCTCTTTTCATTTTCTAGATATTTCTTCGAAACAACAACCACAACAACAACTACGACGTTTATTTAAGTCATTTAATCATTCACATTGATTCATTCATCAACAATAACCAACATGACGACATGAATTTTCTCTCAATTTTTTTTCGTTTCTTTATTTGTTTTCTTTACATTTTCTATTCATTCATCGTGTGTGTGTGTGTGTGTGTTTTGTCTCTTAAATGATTGAAGAATTTACTTTGTTATTGCTGTTACATTGTTGGTGATATTAACTCACTTGATGAACATTCGTGTTTTTTTTCTCAATACAGCAGTATAAAAAAAAATCAGAAAAATTTCTCTCTTTCTAATTCACATTCGTTTTGTACTTGTTGTTTGTTTGATTGATTAATTGATTTATATGTTTGATGAACGATCGAATCGAATTGTTGATCATCATTTCGAATGGTTCAATATGCAGTAACAACAAAAACAGCCGAACAAATGACAGGAACAAATCGATTCGGCTATTATAACAACTATTATTACTACTGTATATATCATTTATTCTACATTTAGGTTAAAATAGA